TAGGGTTCCGCTGAGTCCATTAGGGTTCCGCTGATTCCAGTAGGGTTCCGCTGAGTCCATTAGGGTTCTGCTGAGTCCATTAGGGTTCTGCTGAGTCCAGTAGGGTTCTACTGAGTCCATTAGGGTTCCGCTGAGTCCAGTAGGGTTCTGCTGAGTCCAGTACGGTTCCACTGAGTCCATTAGGGTTCCGCTGAGTCCAGTAGGGTTCCGCTGAGTCCATTAGGGTTCTACTGAGTCCAGTAGGGTTCTGCTGGGTCCAGTACGGTTCCACTGAGTCCAGTAGGGTTCCGCTGAGTCCATTAGGGTTCTGCTGAGTCCAGTAGGGTTCTGCTGAGTCCATTAGGGTTCTGCTGAGTCCAGTAGGGTTCTACTGAGTCCAATAGGGTTCCACTGAGTCCAGTAGGGTTCTACTGAGTCCAATAGGGTTCCGCTGAGTCCAGTAGGGTTCCGCTGAGTCCAGTAGTGTTCTACTGATCAGTATTCAGGGTTCTAACTTCAGTTCTGTGGTTTGTTTTGATGTAAAATCTCGTTTTTATTTTTATTTTCTAATCTTTTGATTATTTTAAAATTTTTCTGAATTAAGTTTTTTTCTTTTTCTTTTAAAATTTCACTTAATTCACTGATTTCGTCACTAATTAGACAAAACTAGAAACGACCTGACGGATGGGACCAGTTCTGGGTCACGGTTCTGGTTGAGCTGCTCACTGGTGATTGAACGTTTCAGGTTCCTTAAACCAACTGCTTCACACACCTGGACGACGTCAGAACCAACGAGGACACGAAGGAACAGAAATCAGAATCAGCTCTGATTTCATGTTTATGCAGTGAAGCAGGCTGAATGTGGACGAACAGGTTCAACAGAACCAGAACCAGAGCTGGAGGCTGTTCACGGCTTTCCATCATTACATCCGGCCGGAGAGCGAGTCGGCCAAAGTCTTCATGTTAAAGTTTAACCTGATATCTGCACTGATTTCAGCTGATTTCAGCTGATTTAAGCTGATTTCAGCTGATTTCAGGCTGATTTCAGCTGATTTCAGCTGATTTAAGCTGATTTCAGCTGATTCAGGGGAGCTCTAGCTGCCATGTTCCTGAGAACAGAGGAGGCGGTCTGGACATGTGAACACATTCAGACTCTGAGCGAGGACGGCTGACTGACACGACTGAGCGTTGATTGGCCTCCCAGCAGGAAGCAGGTCTCTAACCTCGGTGACTCACCTGTTTCACCTGTTTCACCTGTTTCACCTGTTCTGCCTGATCAAGGTGACTCGACGTCGCTCACAGCACCTGTGACACTAAGCAGACTCCTTTGGACTCAGGAAGTTCTTGTGTTTGTATGAACTAGCGTCAGATTTCTTTTCTTCTTTTTTGTTTTACAAGAAACACGGCGTTCAGAGACTTGAAGGCTTCTGGACTCAGGTCTGTTTCAGGGTAACAAGAATCTCTTCTGCTGGTTTTTGGGATTCGTTTCCATCTTTAGCGGTTCTGCTTCTGTCACCTTCGGGTCTTCCGGCTGCTCCACTTTAAAGCTCGAGGTTTTCTTTCAGACAGACTTTGGTGTTTTTGCTCCACAGTGTCGGTGAAAGAGGTGAAACAGAAGTGAAATGAAACAGAAAGCAGACGTTACAGTCCTTCAGAGAGCCGACAGAAGCTCAGAGGAGACTGAGCGGCCGGCTGGTCTCAGGCGTCCGCAGAGCTTCATCTACCTGCTGCTTCTTCTCTGAACGCTGCTCGTGATCATGTTGGTGGAGAAGTTTGAGGTTCATCCTGAGAGTCGCTCAGGCCTGGATGCACCTGTTGCCATGACGACAGCATCCAGAATCAGAGCCGGTGTTGCTGTCGCTGGTGAAACGCTGAGGAGTGGGAGCTCCTGTTTCCTGTCCTCTTCGCTAAAGTGGACGATGAATCACCAGGTGGTTAGTTACCGGTCGCCATGGTAACCAAACTGAAGGCCGAGCAGACGGGATGATGAAGGTGATGATGAAGATGAAGATGATTATACTGATGAAGATGATGATGAAGCTGATGATGATGATGATGAAGATACTGATGAAGATGATGATGAAGCTGATGATGATGATGATGAAGATACTGATGAAGATACTGATGAAGATGATGATGATGAAGATGAAGACAAGGATGATGATGATGATGATGATGATGATGATGATGAGGGGCTGAGTGGAATTGTACCTCCATGTCTGTGAACGTCTCTTAAAGTCTCTCGTTTCTGTCTCCCTGCAGTGAAGCATCATGGGAGGTGGCAGATGGACGAGCCGACCGTGGGCCGAGCAGTGACACACACAGACACACACGGACACACACGGACACACACAGACACACAACATGGAACAAGGCTTCAGCTTGAACACGCTGGTGAGTTCTCAGTGTGTTCATGTGTGAGCGTTTAATGCAGCGATACGAAGCAGGAGCAGAACACAGACGCCAGACTGGGAGTTTGTGTTCGTTGTGGTTGTTTTGTCTCATTGCATTTGTCGTTTGTGTTTGTCGCCGTCCTTCACCGTCTCCTCCTTCACTCTCGTCCCTGCCGATGGACAGAGAGCTTCTTATTCCTCCACGATCTCTTCATGTAAATGAGCTGCGGAACAAACGCTGCATTCAGGCTCCCAGCACACTCCGTAAATCTCAGTTAGCTGCCTGGAAGCACAGTTCAGCTCAGCTCTGTGTATTCTGATTCTCAGGGGTAGCAGTACACGACACAAATCAGAATCGAGAAACACCTCTTTGAGTTTTTATTCCACAAAAATGTAAAAACGTGTCTCATTTTTTTCTTACTGCGTGTCCTGTTTTTGTGTTTTTGTTTTGTATCTTGTTTCTATTATTTTGTCCGTCTGTTTGTGCACATTTAATGTCTTGTTTGTTTTGTTTTGTGTCTCTTCTTGTCTCTCTTCATAACTTTATTGTTAGATTTTATTAGTTGATAACAAAAGTGAAGCATTCTGTCATGAAACCATATAATCAGCAATCAACAGCTCTCATCATGACATCATAGTTTTATTTCATAAGTTCATGTTCATCGTGAGCACCAGGTCGTCGGTATATATTTACATCAGAGTTTTGGTTGCTGAAGTGAACTCAGACAGCAGGTGGTTCCTCCATCACTCAGGTGTTCAGGTGTTCAGTCAGGTTTTACCTTCCACCTCAGCATCTCTGAACTTCTGTTTGTTGTGCAGAAGAAGCTGGCAGCTGAACCGGACTACACGGACGTGACGCTGACGGCGGCGGAGCGTGTTCGGGCTCTGGGGAAGATGGGATGCAGCGTGGAGATCAATGAGGATGTGGCGCCCAGAAGATACTTTCGCTCTGGAGTGGAGATGGAGCGCATGGCGGCGGTTTACCTGGAGGAGGGCAGCCTGGAGAACGCCTACGTCCTC